GCGTGGGCTTCGGCCAAGAGGTCTGGGGATCTGTGCGCCTTTTCCGTGCAGCCGTCTTGTTTGTCCCTCCCCGATCGGGAGGGCATGATGGAGTTGTGCCCTATCCTGGCCTTCCAGCCCAAGGTCGTCACGTCGTCTTTCAGATCTAGGGTGGTCAGGGTGAGACCGTTTTTCCCTCCTCTGCATGCTTCGGCGGAGGAAGAGCGGCGGCATAGTCTCTGCCCGGTCAGGGCTGTGAGATGCTATTTGGACCGCACGTCTGACCTCAGACGGTCGGATCAGTTGTTTGTGGGGTTTGGCATCAGGAGTCTGGGTGCTGCTTTGTCTCCACAGCGCTTGGCTCTCTGGCTTCGCCTTGCTATCCGTTTGGCGTATGAAGCTCAGGGCTTGCTGCCTCCAGCCCAGTTGAGGGCTCACTCCACTCGCGGGGTTTCCGCTTCGGTGGCTTTGTTCCATGGCACTTCGGTGGAGGAGATCTGCAGAGCGGCGTCTTGGTCCTCCTCCTCGACTTTTGTGCAGTTTTACCTACAGTAAAACTGTAGGTGCAGTTTAGAGTGCAGGGCGGCCCTAGTTCCTCCTTCGACAGACCTCGGTGAGAACTGGTCTGCGGGGGGGGGTTATGTGGAGAGGTGTTGGCGCTCTTGGGAGAGGCAGCCTGGACACCTCTGCAGTAAGGATAGGCGCTCTTGGGAGAGGCGGCCTAGGCCCTTCTGCAGTCTGCTTTACACTCCTGGGGATCAGGCGCTCTTGGGAGAGGCTGCCTGCCCAGGTTTGTTCTGAATTCTTTCCTGCTTTGCAGGTTGGGGAATGCGCGGGCACTCTTGGTAGAGGTGGCCCTGCATCCCTTTCTCTATGGCTCGTAGGACCTCCGTCTCTACCGCTTGGTTGCGGTATGAGCACGTGGGTCACGAGTTTGCTCCAATCACCGGAGTTCATGCCTGCTGGGAGTACATCAGTCTGGGCTTCGCTATGTTATGCATTAGCGAAGCCTAAAGGGCGAAGCAACATATGAAATAGAAACCCCAGTTACCTAATATAACTAAGGTTCTATGAATATTTTGCGAAGCCCTTTAGCTTCGAGCCCAGCAGGCCTGCCCTCTCTTATTCGGCTGAGTTTGAAAGGAGAAGAGCTGTGGTGCATGACCCTATTTATAGGGGACTGGCCTACGCCAGGACGTGAAGGTGATTGGAGGGTGGATCGTTTGATCTTCAGGGCAGGAAGCGATGCTTCCGAGACATATACATCAATATTATTATTCATAGAACCTTAGTTACATTAGGTAAAATTAGTTACATTAAGTTACATTAGGTAACTTTGGCCCTGGAGCGACACACGCCCCTCGACCACGCTCCGGGGCTTATATGAAAGGTTTAACACAAGCGGAGAATACGAAAGTGCAGGAGAGGCGTGTGTGAAAACGCCTGTCACAACGGAAAATGTGATGTGACGCACAATATCAAGTCCCCACCACACCTCATCCCCCACTCCCCGCCACACTGACCCCCCTCATCTGGGCTTTACAAAGCGGCCCCTGACCCAAGTCTTCAAGCGTGCCTGGGCGCGGGTGGGCGCTATCGTGCCCAAGCCCAGTTGCCGCGGTCACATAGCACCTAGGGTTTAATATTTTTCCCGAAAATGAGACGTATCAAATCCCGGGAAAAGACGGCGCGTTTCCCGGGAAATCCCGGGAAATAGCTGTTGTTTGTAGTTGTTGTTTTTAGCCCAAGTAATGTGTGATATCACTCAAATATATAATCCAACAAAAGCTGCCATCTCCACTAGTATTTCACCAAGCGACTTGCTAGCTTTGCTAAAGTAGCCATAGCGTTTTCAGACGTTTTGTTGATGGGCTTTCTTCAGGAATTTCACTAATATGAGATTCTAAATGTCTGCGCAATCCACTTGTCGACCAGTGACGTGCGGTGTGGTTTGGAGGCACTGACTTCAGCCCTGTCAGATGAACATATATCATATAAATCAACAGAACCTGCAGAGCGGCTTATTCACAATTAGTTTGGCTACAGCAGAATGTTTTCCATGCCCGCATTGTTTGCTCAAACAAAACGCAAAAGTTCGTAAAAGGCACATTTCCAATTGTGTTATGGGTCTTACCTTAGTTATTAATGAACAGCACAGACCACTTCGGTTCAGACCAGTTTCATGTTTAAGTCCAGATAATAGTTTGAGCGCAGATATGTAATCCCCCATTTGGAAATAAGCCCAAAAAGTTTTAAAGCGTAAAACAAAACGGGTGCCACCTCCATAAACTCCTGTGTGTTCGCTGCAGCCGGCTCTCGGGCGCATCCAATTTCTAATATCAACCTTCTTACCCTTCTCCTCTCTTCCTTATCATTCCTATCGTCATTGTAAGCAGAACATTACCCTAAATGCATTTTATATGATTTTAAAAAAGTGTTATCTGTATGTTAGCCAAACCTGTTGCTGCCCGTTGCAGATGGAAAAAAAGAAAGGAGCTTTCTGATAGAATTGGACGTAACCAAATTCTGGGCTCACATGTGCCCCGTACCCTGAGCCTGGCCTCATTACAAGTCGTGGTTTAGCGCGATTAAGACCCATATTTGTTGTCAAAAACACAATTTATGAGCCATCCTCTCAGCTGTAGACATGTTGATTGTAAATGAAATATGTTTGAACTTTGAACAACAATACACGTGCTTTATAATAGGAGCGCACTGTATTTTTTTTTTTTACTTTCATTTCCCGTTTCCCGTCATAACATTTCCCGGGAATCGGGAAATAGTTTTCATCAGATTTCCCGGGAATCCCGTATCCCGGGATTAAACCCTAATAGCACCTAAAGCCCGGATCTAATCGCGAAGGGGGCCCTGGCCCACTTAAACCGGGCTTTAGGCTGTGCCTTAGACTTAGACTTAGACAGACTTTATTGATCCACAAGGGAAATTGCGTTGTCACAGTAGCTTGCATAGTATTCCACAAAAAATAACAATGAAAATAACAATAAAGTAAACAACCTGAAAATAAGAATAATAAGATAACAACATCAACTTATTCTTTTATAGCCCTAAATCACAACAGCAGTCATCTCAGAGGACTTAACAAAACCATTGAAATCACCAACACAGATCAGAGAATCAACAGTTGAGACACAAAATATAAACATATGAATCGGTCCATAGGGAGAGACCAGTGGGGGCAGGTCCCAGCTCAAAAGTGGCCAAAATGACGTGCGCTGACATGCTTGCAATACCACCCCGGGCCGATGGGGGTGGACCCAGAAGAAGAATTAGCCAATGCTAACATATAGCATTGGCAGACCTCTCAAAAACGTCTTTATCGGATGGACCAAAAGTTGGCTCTTGGCCCAAAGCTCCGTTCCACATGTGTGTCAATGCTGAGGGGGGTGAATTTTTTTGGTCCACTCTAGTTTACTTGCTGTGAATTTTTGAAGTCTCTCGTTCAAATGAATGGAGCTGCGCCAGCTAACGCATGCGCAGATACGTTTTTTCCCAATTTTATTGTGGGCGGGACCACTGGCGGCCATTTTGGATAGCTCCAGTAGAGCACATTTTTTGGCCCATTAGGTAGAACGGCGGAGATAGGCATGACTCTGTCCGTTAATATATACAGTCTATGGGAGAGACCAATGTCCATGAAGGTTGATAAATGTCCTTACATGTTGTAGAATGTTAGTGTCCTGGATCATCACCACATTCTTTCTAGTTGGACACTAACTGCCCAATAGACCCTCCTGCATCGGCAAGGAAAAACTCACAAAAAAAAGATAAGATACTATTGTGAGAATAAAATAATATGGCTGTAGGTACTCAGGAATAAACATATTTGTGAATATGTACACATTTACAGTTTAAAATAGTGGATAACAGGATAAGTGAGCGACAAATGCCCAAAATTGTAAAGCACTTTGTGACTCTGGTCTGTGAAAGGCGCTTCATAAATAAAGATTACTTACTTACTCTCTGTGATCCTGGTGTTCATATTGTGATATTGTCTTTGTAAATCTAGATATGAGCCCATATAATGAAATTTGCTCCAGCTAGCTTATGTTCAAATCGGCTTCTTCTGCATCAAAGGAGCTATACCCGTTTCTGCAAGGTTTGAATGTTTAGCTCCACCCCCCAACTCACAGGCTTCTCATTTCCCCTACCCTCTCATGTCACGGAGCCACCTAGTTTTATTTGCGATCTGATACCTATGCAAACATTAACATGAGCGCAACTTCTTGTAAGCTGTACAACAATCACTGATTAAATGGTTAAAAAGCAACACACTGCTAACTAAATATATAACTGAAAGATTACCGCTAGTTTCGCGTCAAATGTAGTCCGAGGCGGTCCCGCACCTGCAGGTCTCTCCCATAGACAAGTCTCTCCAGAGGATACGATGCAAGCTAGCTATGTTCACCCGGGCCAGATTTCTTCTTTGATAATTTTTTTGCATTAGTTCCCTCTTCTCTTCCTCGCTGTTGCGTCGTTTGGCCTGTTTTGCTGTGTATGCAGTTACAGCAAGTTATAGCCAATTCTGCTAACATGCTACTGTGTTTAGCAGCGCTGTAGAGGCTAGAGGACACCGCCTGTTCTGTGATTGAAGGAGAACGAGCGTCACGCCAAGTCTCTACTGAGCACTTTTTACGGCCTGAATTCATACACAAGCTGAATCTATGAGCTCAAGTTTTCAATTAAGTTACGGATTATAATACTACTTGTATGTAGTAATAAGCACTTTTATGAACTCATTAGAAAAAAAATCATAGCTTCTTTAAGGCTAACACAATGGTGATGTCACTCTTGGTCATTCTATGTTTAATTCACGGACATCGCACGTGTTTGCACTTGCGCGCTAATTTTGCTCTCTGAAAAAAGGAAGTTAGCAGTTTCCTTTCCTTTTGGGCCTGTTGTAAATATGTGCCTTTGTGTGAGTTTTGTGAGCCGTGGAGGAGGGGGATTTGCCTGTGTTGCCTCATCTCTCACAAGTCCGTTCTCGTCCCGTTCGCCCTCAGGTACTTCCTCTTGTGTGTGAACTACTTCTTCTACGGCGAGACGGTGACAGACTCCTTCTTCTCGCTGGTGCAGAGGGAGGAGCCGCTGCGGATCCTCAGCAAATATCACCGTTTCATCTCCTTCGCCCTCTACCTCTCTGGTGAGTCGTGCAGTGGCCTCAGCATTTGTGCATGTGTTGAATGCTGTTGCGGAGAGAGTGTTAGCCTCATCCATGCTAATATCAGTAACTTTTGACACAAACACGTCCCCCCGCTCCTTCTGTCTTAATCACGGGTTAAGACAGAAGGAGCCTCCTGGACGCCTCCCTGGGGATGTCCCATCAGGCATGTCCCATCGGGAAGAGACCAGGGGAAGAACCAGGACACGCTGGAGGGATTATGTCTCGGAGCTGATTTTGGGAACGCCTCAGGATTCCCCCGGATGAGCTGGAGGAAGTGTGTGTGGAGAGGGAAGTCTGGGCGTCTCTGCTTAGACTGCTGCTCTCAGAGACGGAGAGAGTCCAGAGAGAGAGGGAGAGACCAGAGAGAGAGAGGGAGAGACCAGAGAGAAAGTGAGATACTATGATTTTACAATTCCATAATTTACATTTTTGGAAAAAGAAAAAAAAAAAAAAATATATATATATATATATATATATATATATATATATATATATATATATATATATATATATATATATATATATATATATATATTCCGGTACAAAAGACAAAGGACCCCTTTTGTTTTCTCCTCCTGGGTTTTAGAGTTTATCCTTGTCAATGCAGGAGAGACTGTTAGAGGTTCTAACAAGAAGGACAATGGTGATGACCCAGGACACTCTAACATTCTACAATATTTATGGACATTTGTCAACTCAGATTCAGATTCATTTATTGGCCATGTGCAGTATAAAAACTACATTGGAATACATTTGCAAAAAAAGGTACTCTGTGTGCACCGACAGAAACTCTGTGTGCACTCCCCCTATGGACCTACCTATGTGTTCTATATTTTTTGTGTTCGAACGGTTTGATCCTCTGATGTGTGTTGGCAATTTCAACGGTTTTGTTAAGATAACTACTGTTGTGATTTAGGGCAATACAAGAATAAATTGAACTGAATTGTTGAGATCTTCCCAAACGTGTCTTTTCATCATAATCTCACTTTGACAGTTTCCTATTTCTCCCAATTATTCACTTCACAGTGAATGGAAAAACCAGAATCCTCTTTCTCCTTAAAAGATGCAGTTTCCAGTAAAGGCTTTCCTTTCATTGCCGTTTCCCAGGACACGCTCTGCTTCTCTGAGCTGTGTGTTACATCAATGATCAGTAGTCATGACAGAGAATGTAATGTTTCTGAGATTACAAGCTCTGCCCTGTTTAGGCTAAAAAATACTCTAAGGAAGGAGTGGTAAAGGTTGTCTCTGCTGATGATAGAAGGAGGATTGTGGACTATCCTCCTTCTATCTTTAGTCCAGTTCAGTATGACTTTACCTTGAATGGTCTGGATATGAGCTGGAGGAAATTCCAGACGTTTGTGCAACTTTTTATAGAAATTGGAAGAAGTCATGGTTTGTATCATTCATGTCTAGAAGAATTATAAACCCATTCACTTAAAGAACGCGTACAATACTCATATCTTTTAACACACAAAATAAGTGGATAACAAGTATAACTCAACACAAATGAAATGCTTATCTTTTAGTTAAAGGAGCAATATGTAAAAATCTGGCCAAAGGTGGTACTGCAGTCACAGTCAATATTTTGTAGTCCTCTCCCACTCTCCCTGACTCAGGATGCCAGATTCACACCAAATCCAGCAGCAAACACAGGGAATTATTTTATCAGTTGTTTGTCCGTCTCCATTCACATTGCCATGACAGCCGTGCTAATGCTGAATGAATGTTTTGATTAATGTTTTTTTATTATTATTATTTGGACATTTGAGATAAAAAACAAAAACAAAATAAAAGCAATGTAATTATACATAGTTTATGCAAAATAAATAAGCAATTGATGTCCAAAATAGGAGTGGGAAGAATGGATGTTGGAACGTATTTCTTCAGCGTATCAACATCAGGGTTTGCTCAAGAGGATATCACCTTTCAATTTTATTTATTCCCTAACATGTAAAAGTCCCACATCAAAAAGAGACTAACATTATTTTAATTGGGGTACATGTGGTCTTAAATGATTATTTTTACAATTAAGCTATAATCTGCAAAAAAACGTCTTGACCTTCATCTTTTACCGTTTTTAGAGCAATCTGTCATAGAATGTGATAACATGCAATAAATACAAAAAGACATAGCCCGGGATCGAACCCGGGTTCCTGCATCGTAAGCGCACAGTTTAGACCACTAGAGTCTAGTGGTTCCCAAAGTGGGGGTCCTGACCCCCCGGGGGGTCGCGGGAACCCCTGGGGGGGTCGCAAGATGATTTCCACACAAAAAAAAAGACTATAATATATTTTAATAACGTTAGTAATTTTGTCCCAGTCATTGCAGCGTCAATCAAAATCATCACGTAACACAGCTCACATCATGCGCAGCGACAAAGCGTGTCCTGCTGTTGTTTGCTAAAACTAAAGGTGTTTGGAGGCTACAAATAAATAATACCTGCTTTAAAATGAAACGTGGTTAATATCCACAACAGAAAAACCCGGAGGGGGAGAAAAGTCACTTGTATCAGGGGTCAGGCTGATGGTGCGAAGAGAGGGAGAGAGGGCAGAGGAGGGAGAGAGGGCAGAGGAGGGAGAGAGGGCAGAGGAGGGAGAGAGGGCAGCGGAGTCAAAGGTAAAGAGGTCCGCACATTAAAAGCGGGTGGCCGGTTTATGCCTTTACTGACAGTAACTTTGGAAAGAGAAGCCGCGGGGATGAACCGCATAAAGTAACAGCAGAAAGCGGCCGCCCGCTTTTAATGTGCGGACCTCTTTACCGCTGACTCCGGAAAGCCGGCCCACTTTACCGCGGTAGGAGAACAGTGAGGGCGAGCCGCAAGAAATGCGCTCCACTTCTGCTGAGGAGGGAGCCCACCAAGCCCATCACTGTGTCACTACATGAGTAAAAATATGCAAGCCTCCTTTTTTGGGCTGGACAGTGCAGCTCGGTAGTGGCGTGAGTCTCTAGAAAGCGTTACTCCGTATCAAGGAAATACATGCTCATTTCATGTGACGGAAGGGCTGTTGGGGGGGGGGCGGGGGTCGCGGGTTAGCAGGGCATTTATGATGGGGGTCGCGGGCTAAAAACTTTGGGAACCCCTGCACTAGACCACCGATTCACACGAATGAGACACTGTGAAGAACGGACTCAAACTAGAAAATTCTGCATCACACGTGAACTTTTATCAGCTGTCTCAATTGTTCAAAGGCATCCCGATATAAATCCTCGTTTTAGTCTTTGTTTTGTCATTAATGATTTGAGAGTCATAACAAGACCTTTTTTAGTTCTGCGCCACATGTTATTTTACCACTGAGATTAATGAGCCGCGCGGAGTTCTGGCAACCCGATCACGGACTTACATGACACTTCCTGATTGGCGAAACGGCGGAGGGTAGGACATCAAAATCAAAACAATAACAACTTTTACGGGTCGTAAAACTAATTTTGATAATCAAATATCTCGGCTGAACTACTGTTATCAGTTAAAGATGAATTCGAAAAGAGTATGATTTAATAACGCCTTTTGAAATATTCGGGTCATTTAATGATGACTTGACATGCAAATATTACATATTGCTCCTTTAAATAAACAAAGTATAAAACTGTCTACTCCAAATAAATGTATACTTGTTTGTATAGGGACAATAGGTAAATCTGCAACCTTTGTGACATGGAGTGCCAGTTTGTTCTCTGTGATGAGCTCTGTGATCTGGGGCTTGTAGTTAGTTACTTTGAGTTGCAAACATGCCTCAGAGTGCTTCGTTGTTAACCGATTGCGGGTGGGGCTTCTCGTCCTCCAGTTCTGGATATTTTTGGCCCTTATCATTCAGAAAGGCCTTGATAGCATCAAAGCAGCTGACAAATCGCTCCAGAACTTTTTCTCAACTTAGCCATCTCACTGCTGAGTGGAGACGCTGTATTACACAAATCCACACAGTGGTGTCCTTCTGGGTCCTAGTGCCGGCAGTAAACGCGCACAGACAAAGAGGCAGATAAAGTGAGTATCGTAATAATACCCTCAGTATTAGCGTGTCAGTGTTTATTCCGCGGCGTGCCACAGGTTGCCGACCCCTGCTCTAGTTTAATAAGACAGAAGTATTATTATTAAATTGATTTAAGTATGAATATTCACTGATACTACTGTACATGTTAGCAGCACTAGATACTACTGTACCACTCTGAGCTAAAAGTGACAGTGGTCCCAAATTGCGCATTCTGACTTTATAACCATATTTGTGCCAATTGGTAAAAGGGAAGAACAAAAATAGCAGCACTCATTGCTGGTAGAAAGAGTTGGATCTTAACGTAACACAGTTCTCTATTTGACTGCTGTGTGGTGACACGAGGCACACCTGCAGATGAAAGCCAGATCTGACCTCTGAAGCTAAGCAGGGCAAGGCCCAGGGCAGCTGTGGCTATAGTAGTAGATTATCTCTGCCGTGTATGGAGTGAATGAATAATGCCGTGAGGCGTCTTTGAGAGTCCAGATTGTTTGTCTGGAGAAAATCTTAACTACCGTAATTTCCTAACTTTAAAACGCACTTGATTATAAGCCGCAGGCTCCAATTTTTTGAAAGAAATTGATTTTTTAACTTGTCCCACATTGTAATATTGAAAAAGGTTTCTCAAAAACCATTTGTCGATTACTGTGAGTAAAAAGAGTAACAAGTGAGTCACTGACTGTTCTGAATCTTCCAGTGTGAAGCAGAAAGAAAAGGAGCAACATCTACTGGTCTCTTTTCTCTTTCATGTCTGTACACAGATTTTATTTTATTTTATACTAAATATTCACACAAAGATATTATAGATGAGTACTTTTAAACGATTTAATCTGCTTTATTGACAAATCTTACATTTGATTGAACCTCTGTGAAAAACTCAATTCTGTTGGGCTACTGTTACTTGGCAAAATACCCTGTGCGTGGTCCGTTTTCCTCCGGGTGCACCAGTTTTCCCATGTACAATAGGTAAAATCCTACAGCTTTGGTAGTCCTGACCAAGCCTGGCCCTGATACGGCGACCACTGCTCCTCACGTAACATCAAGATGGGCCTAATTCAGAGGATGAATTGCCCTACAGGGATAAATAAAGGTTACCTTTACTTTACCTTAAAGTGCTTTGCAAAAATATGTAATCGACAGAAGCGTGTCATATGAGTAATATATGAGTACCTCAAGCAGCTTTGCGTCAGCTGTGTCTGGATCACATTTAGAGACTGTCATATTGAAGAATCTAAAATAAATCACTCATAGTTACAACTGCAGTTCATTGGAAAAGTTCTAACAAAGTAATTTCCGCACAGACGGGCACCATGGTCACAGTTTATGAGATGCAGTAATAGTTTTTTTTCCCTCAGAAACATGCTCATCATTTGCTCAGATTACATATCTCTAAAGTCAGTCATGCTTCTTGGCCTTGTCAGTGTCTTCTGGAGCACTTGGCCACAACCATACAGGATGTGGTGCCAACTGCTGCTAGTCTCCTGTGAGCTTAAAGGAAATGTATTCTGCAAAGACCTTTTCTCTCTTTTCTCTCATCAGTCACAGACCTGAAGTTGTTTTTAAATCCCCCACTCTATCATCAGGAACTTTGGCACAAACATGTAACTTTTCCCCTTCTGTCTCAGAGCTCCTGTCTCAGTCCTGCAATTGTACCACTATGACATCACACATGTTCTGCCTTTAAAACATTAGAGAGACCAGAGAGCGAGAGAGCGAGACCAGAGAGAGAGCGAGACCAGAGAGAGAGAGCGAGACCAGAGAGAGAGAGCGAGACCAGAGAGAGAGAGAGCGAGACCAGAGAGAGAGAGAGCGAGACCAGAGAGAGAGGGCGAGAGAGCGAGACCAGAGAGAGAGAAGTGATCTTTGAATAGAGTGCTCTCTCTCCTTCCTTTCTAACTCAGATCAGGTGGAAAACCCTTTTGATAGTACAAGACACACCTTAATTTACAGATAGGACGGGAAGAGGCATCACAACAGAGAACAATGACAAGACCTGCTTCCTTATTAGCATGTTCTAAAGTGGATTAACATACATCCCTCTTTGCCCTGACTTCTTGGAGCTAACAGTGAATTACAATACAGATTTTTCTGTATACAATATATTTTAGCCACATATTACTCATTAAAATGATAACTTAAACAACATTCCAATGACGAGTAGCAAAAGGAGATTCCAGCCAATAGTATTATTTACACTTCATACTTGTTTCTCCATATATATCCTACTGGAGATATTCTTTCACATTGCTAAACAAAATAAGTTGGATAAAATATCAGGATTTGTGATGCTGTTTTGAAAAGGTGTGTACAAACTCATGACCTAATCTAAAGTTCTGGATTGTTGAAACGCTGACATTGTCCTTGTGCTCGACAGGCTTCTGCATGTTTGTGCTCAGCCTGGTGAAGAAGCACTACCGCCTGCAGTTTTACATGGTACGTTTAACCCCTTAGAGCCTGTCTGTTGTCTATCTGTCATTTATTAACATTTGTGAACGGTGGTCATCCCGCTCCCTATGGACCAAGGACGCCAATGTGTTTATTATTTCCTGTGTTCGAACTGTTTGATTCTCTGAACTGTTCTTGGTGAATTGAAACGTTGTCAATTGCTGGGTTGCAACCACGTAACCAAAAGGGGGCGTGGCATGGGTCCAAAGGACAGGAAGTATTTTTCCCCTATTAATTAGAATGGGCGATGCCGGAAAATGCACACAGGAGCTTTTCGCGGCTTAATAGCACTCATATTGTGAGTGAAAACAATTTTCAATGCAGCGTGACGACTGTGGAGCTCATCACTGGGATCAACAGAACCACGTCTGAGATGATAGTTCTATTCAATAATACAATAAACAGGGCACAAATGTTACTTTTAACAACATTTGAGGCGAGAAATATGACCCCTTTGTTGTCATTTTGGTGATTTGTTGAGCTGTAAATAACAAAGCGTTCGGAGTTATGCTCCAGGGGGGCGCTCCGTAGCGTTAAGTTAGCAGCGGGGTGCTGCAACGAACGCAGCCGTCCTGGGGGCACACAGCTCGGATACACCTTCAGACATTACCCTGGTCCTCACAGTGCCAGTCGTGGAAATAACGATTAACAATGACTAGATTATATGTGAGAAGACTTGGATTGCACAGCCTGCTTTTAGCTTTGTTACACATGTACTGTACATGTTGGTTTGTATTTAACAGGTCTTTCTCTGTGTTGCCTCGGTTACTACAACCATATACCACACACAAATACTACATTGTATCTATGAAAGACCGCGGAGTAAAGACTGTCAGATGTGTCTGCGGCCTCAGATGCTACGCAGGCTAATGCTAATGCTAACAAATTTCTTCTGTTCCTTGTTAGGCATTTTCCTAAAAATCGGCACCCGTTATAGAAATAAATTCAGCAAAATAGATACTTCATAGGTTCCTCACTTGATATGAGCCATTTAAATAAAAATTCAAATACATTGAATTGAATTGGCTCCTATTGACTTACATTTAAAAGTAAACTCATAGCTCAGTTGGGGTGACAGTGGTTCAATTGGTAGAGCAGTCTTCGGACCTGATGGTCATGGGCTCGATACCCCCATGACTCATGTCACCTGCTTCCACTGATGTATGCTGTCATTGTGTCCCTGGGCTAGACACCCAATCCCATTTTACCTGAAGCCCCCGTTGAAATACCACGCCTGTGTCTACGATGACATAGAACCCACCTTCCCGTGGACCCACCACCTGCAGGGGGATCTGTGAGGGCCTGGTGCTTTGAGTACTGGGTGGCAGTACTCTAATTGCCACCCCCGACCCAGAAATTGACTAATAGAGGGGTTGAAAATGTCATGTCATATCCTAGCTTAGTAATCGCCTGTGTCGCACTCAACATTTTGGGTGCTCTGGGATCCTGGTGTTTATATTGTGTCTGTGTAAAACCCAGATATCCAGATATGAGCCATTTAAGGATTGACCAATCAGATGTATAGGAGGAGTGTGATATCACCCTAGCGTGAGCCTAATACGGAAGAGGCCGATTTAAACATAAGACCACGCTCCCATCTGTGTGGAGTGAGAGGCAAATGCCCACATTTGTAAAGCGCATTGTGACTCTGGTCTGTGAAAGGTGCTATATTAAGAAAGATGACTTATTTACTTAAGATAGCTGGAGCCAATGCCCTTATATGGGAATTTGTTCCATGACATTAGCTTCGGGCCATAACGGGGGCAGATGTGTTGCCAAGAGTTAGTAATGGGGCTTTCAGACCGCCAACGCTGAAACGCGGAAGCCCCGCTCACCAGACGCGCATTCTCTAGTTTTCAGACGCAGATGTCTTCACACCAGAACCTCCTGATGCGAGCCAGAAGTACCGGAAGTAGCCGGCCGGCTCTAATGCTAACAGAGCTATCCTAGCGGCTTCTTGTGTACAGATCTTCTCCAATATGCAGCTTTGCAGCGTGTCTTTGCTCACAGACATTCCACGGGCTTTATATAACAGTAGTATGTGTTCACGGAGGTGCGCCATACGTTTTTTCATATTATTAAACGGAATTTCCGCATCGGCGAACACACTCGAAGCCGTTGCATAAGGTCACGGGAGCATGACAACACATATTTTCACAAGCACAGAGTCCCCCATTGTCAACCCTGGTTTGAGTTCTGGTGAAGTCTGGTGTGGGTCCTGTTTTGGCTGTTTATGAGTATTTTCAGTCTGCTCGCTCAGTCCGCTGATGTCCCCGTGATCACTTTGCGGCTCTCTGATTGGTTGTCGCACGAACGTCCCAAGGAAAGGATGAGCAGAATCCATCTCCTGTGGGCGTTGATTTTTTGCTCCTGCTCCTCCCTTTTCACTTTCCCGCCAAGTCCGTGCGTCATTATTGAACAGTCCGTTCGTGCGTGCCAAGAGGTCCGTGCGTTGTGACGGTCGAACGCACGCCACCATAGACTTTGCATTGAAACCCGACGCAACGCATGATCCGGTCTGAAAGCACCATAAGGCAAGCTGGAGTTCCCCTAAAGACTGTATACTGATAGACAATCATAAGATAAGATAAACCTTTTATTAGTCTCACAGTGGAGAAATTTCAGTGTCATCGTTGCGCACATTACAGCAGAGAAAGGAAATAAGAGCACTCAGATTGCACACATCAAATAAGTATTATTTAAGATAATAGACAATAAAATTAAGATTAAAATCAAATGAGTTAAACTCTGGGCTATAATTGCACTTAGTTCGGAAGTATTTACAGATGTCTATATTATACATTAGCAGTGGAGAATATGAATATGATATAAACATCAGAAATAATATCAACAGGTAAAGTGACTTGAATGGGAGAATTATCAGATGGATATGTAATAATACAGTAAAATATCAACAGGTAAGTAACTGGTGAAAGGCAGAAATATCAGATGTGTAATAATCAGTAGTACTGATAACAGGTAAAGTGACTAGGGGACTAGTGAATTATCAGTGACACTTGTACAGACTCAGCAGTTCCTGTTACACATTCTCGTTGCACAGTCTGACAGCAGCAGGAAGGAAAGACCTACGGAACCTCTCCTTCACACAGCGAGGGTGAATTAGTCTGTCACTGAAGCTGCTCTCCAGAGCAGAGAGAGTGTCCTGCAGGGGGTGACAGTCATGGTCCAACATACAGTGCCTTGCAAACGTATTCGGCCCCCTTGAACCTTTCAACGTTTCGCCACATTTCAGGCTTCAAAAGATATAAAAAAAATATTTTCTGTCATGAATCAACAACAAGTGGGACACAATTGTGACGTGGAATGAAATGTATTGGATAATTAAAACTTTTTTAACAAATAAAAAACTGAAAAGTGGGGCGTGCAATATTATTCGGCCCCTTTACTTTCAGTGCAGCAAACTCACTCCAGAAGTTCAGTGAGGATCTTTGAATGATCCAATGTTGTCCTAAATGACTGATGATGATAAATAGAATGCACCTGTGTGTGATCAAGTCTCCGTATAAATGCACCTGCTCTTTGATAGTCTCAGGGTTCTGTTTAAAGCGCAGAGAGAACCATGAAGACAAAGGAACAGACCAGGCAGGTCCGAGATACTGTTGAGGAGAAGTTTAAAGCCGGATTTGGATACAAAAAGATTTCCCAACCTTTAAACATCTCAAGGAGCACTGTTCAAGCAATTACATTGAAATGGAACGAGTGTCAGACCACTGCAAATCTACCAAGACCCGGCCGTCCCTCCAAACTTTCATCTCAAACAAGGAGAAGACTGATCAGAGATGCAGCCAAGAGGCCCATGATCACTCTGGATGAACTGCAGATAACTACAGCTGAGGTGGGAGAGTCTGTCCATAGGACAACAATCAGTCGTGCACTGCACAAATCTGGCATTTATGGAAGAGTGGCAAGAAGAAAGCCATTTCTCAAAGATATCCATAAAAAGTCTCATTTAAAGTTTGCCACAAGCCACCTGGGAGACACACCAAACATGTGGAAGAAGGTGCTCTGGTGAGATGAAAGCAAAATTGAACTTTTTGGCCACAATGCAAAACGATATGTTCGGCGTAAAAGCAACACAGCTCATCACCCTGAACACACCATCCCCACTCTCAAACATGGTGGTGGCAGCATCATGGTTTGGGCCTGCTTTTCTTCAGCAGGGACAGGCAAGATGGCTAAAATTGATGGGAAGATGGATGGAGCCAAATACAGGACCATTCTGGAAGAAAACCTGTTGGAGTCTGCAAAAGACCTGAGACTGGGACAGAGATTTATCTTCCAACAGGACAATGATCCAAAACATAAAGCCAAATCTACAATGGAATGGTTCACAAATAGACGTATCCAGGTGTTAGAATGGCCAAGTCCAGACCTGAATCCAATCGAGAATCTGTGGAAAGAGCTGAAGACTGCTGTTCACAAACGCTCTCCATCCAACCTCACTGAGCTCGATCTGTTTTGCAAGGAAGAATGGGCGAGAATTCCAGTCTCTCGATGTGCAAAACTGATAGACATACCCCAAGCGACTTGCAGCTGTAATTGCAGCAAAAGGTGGCGCTACAAAGTATTAGCGCAAGGGGGCCGAATAATATTGCACGCCCCACTTTTCAGTTTATTTGTTAAAAAAGTTTAAATTATCCAATAGATTTTGTTCCACTTCACGATTGTGTCCCACTTGTTGTTGATTCTTGACAACAAATGTAATTTTTATATCTTTATGTTTGAAGCCTGAAATGTGGCGAAAGGTTCAAGCCTTGCGAATACTTTCGCAAGGCACTGTAGATGTTAGTTTGTTCAGGACCCTCCTGTCCCCCACCTGCTGCACTGTGTCCAGGGAACAGCCCAGGACTGAGCTGGATTTCCTGATGACCTTGTCCAGCTAACCCCAAAGCTCAATGAGGCCCATAGGGATGTGCTCATGGTTTTGCGCCGACTCTCTCTGTCTCCTATTGACCTACCTATAAAAATAAATTCCTCTAGCCTAGTAACCGTTTGGTGTCACACTCGGTCAGTCCATTCCTAATATACAGGAGGCCATCCATCCATCCATTTTCTTCCCCTTAATCCATTTCTGGGTTGGGGGGGTGGCAGTCAGAGTTGCACCCAGTTCACACAGCACCAGCCCCTCACTGATCCTCCTGCAGGTGGTGAGTCCATAGGAGCCTTGATCTTCCAGCTGGGGTTTCAGGTAAAGTGGGAGTCATGAAGTAGGTCTTGTGATGGGCTCGAACCTAAAGGCCAATGCTCTACCAACTGAGCCACTGTCGCCCCCAAAAAATGAGGAACGCTTCACGAATGTGTCATCCTTGCGCAGGGGCCAGGCTAATCTTCTCTGTATTGTTCCAATTTTAGTAGGGGTGTTAGCGAACTAACACTATATATATATATATATATATATATATATATATATATATATATATATATATATATATATATATAAGAATATACGGAATTATAATAAATGAATCCGATTACTCCCTGTGCAAATGAGTTAATGGTACTTTTCTGGCGCCTACAGTTTGGCTGGACCCATGTGACTCTGCTCATCGTGGTCACGCAGTCTCACCTCATCATTCACAACCTGTTTGAGGGCATGATCTGGTAGGTCTACACACACATGCACGTATGCATTCACACATAACTTGAGTTATACGAGTCATGTCAAGTTCATTTGTTTAGCACAGTTCATTCACGGGGCAAGTCACCGTGATTTTAACACAACATTCAAATATTCACGTAATTTATCAGAGTGCATTAAAAAGAGTAAAAATACAATCCTTGAGTTGTTGCAGGAAAACAGATCTGTTTTTAGCCAGAATTTAAACAACAGTAGAAGCCTGTCTCACATTTTCAGGAAGAAGGTTCCAGGTTTTGCTGCATATATCTGGAATGCTGCCTCTCCATGCAGGAGGCTAGTCCCTGTGCTCCTCAGAGTCTGATTTGGTTCATATGACACGTGTACTTTGGTGCGAGGTCATGGAGAGACTTTTCCATAAACAGAGCTTCTTTAAAGTCTATTCTCTGAGCCACAGAAAGCCAGTGCAGACAGCTGAGTACAGATTGAAGCATTATCATGTAGTATGTTGTTTGATAAGGTCTGTGTTTTTCCAGTTTATGACTGTAACGTACATGTGTAGGTTTATCGTGCCCATCTCCTGCGTGATCTGCAATGACATTATGGCCTACATGTTTGGATTCTTCTTTGGCCGCACTCCACTCATCAAGGTTTGTCGGTTCATTAACATTACTGCTGGACTTTTGATTAGTTTGTGAAAAGTTGGAGCAATCTTTAGTGGCTTAATATTTATGCAACAATTACAGTTTACAATACAATACAATACAATACAATTTATTCTTGTATAGCCCTAGGTCACAACAGAAGTCATCTCAGAGGACTTAACAAAACCATTGAAATCACCAACACAGGTCAGAGAATCAACAGTTAACACATGGAGAATATAAAGCACACACAGAAGAAAATGTCCATACATGTTGTAGAATGCTAAAGTGTCCTGATCATCACCAATCCTTTCTGTTGGACACTAACTGTCCAACAAGACCCTCCTGCATCGACAAGGAAAAACTCTTAAAAAACCCAGTGGGAAAAAGTGAGAAACCTTGGGGAGAACTAGGGAAACCCACAGGGAGGGAGACCCATTTGAGAAAGGGATCCGCTCCTCCGGGCAGACAGGCTAATGATCTAGGACCTAAGCTAGCTACAGAACGTGGACCAGTGGCCGCTGAACGTGGACAGGTCCGGTGCAGGACCGAAGCACTCCCAGGCGGGTCGGGCGGGGCAGTCCGCAGGTGTAGATGGAGGAGGCCAGGCTCAGAGATCCCGTCATCGTACCATGAAACAGACAATGGGACAACGGGTGAATAGCAATGAACAAACTACAGTCAGAATCCTAAAAGTGCTAAACAGATAAAGTAGATAAAGTAGGAAGGAGGAGAGGATAGTGCTCAAGTTACCATACTTCTCCCAGCAAACTGACTCCCTATGCAGCTTGACTGACAGTCTGAGGAGTTTAGCCTTCCCCGAGTCTTACCTTCCTAACCATATGCTAAACTAAAGAGGACTGTTTTAAACCTAGCCTTGAATAAAGAGATTCATGGATTGCACACCAGGTGTGCAAACCGATCCAAGCAAACCTAATTATATATTATATATCATATACATCATATATACCATACATACCATATATATCATATATAATACACAACATAACATACAGCATAATATATAACATAATATACAACATAATACAGCATATATATATAATATATACACCATATATTATATATTACCTAATTGTAGGGTAATAATATTACAGTAAGCTATAAATTTAGTAGTGTGGAGCGGCTAGTCTCCGGATCAGAAACTCGCCGTTCCACCAATGGATCTGTCTTATTTATTTTGGGCACCAGTAGACGTTTGAGGGTCTACGACAGACCCAGGGTATTTGCCTCGATACCAGTATCACAAATCTGATGGGTTGAGTACGAAAATCGGCCAGGGATTTACCGAAATCTAACAACACCACTCTGATAGGATTGAGTTAAAGAAAAGGGGTTTTATTGATTACAAAAATGAAGGTAAAAATATAACGAAGGGGATTTCTGGTCACATTAAAGCAGAAGTGGTATACATTTCATTCAAATCACACATTTAACAAAGAACAGTCTTACTTTGTAGGAGCGTAGAGGATGGAGAAAGGATTTGGGTTGGGGAATCAGCCCACGTGGTTTCTTTGTCTGGGCAGGCGGGAGGTACGAAGCCAGCGAGTTTGGTCCAGCTGCTGATCCACGCGTATACAGCCCAGTCCGGAATGGGTTGCGCGCGTAGAGTCCAGAGCCAGGGAAAGAGGCTGGTGATGGAACAGTTCATAAGGTCCCGAGCCAGAGGAGAGTGTGTTTTGCGGAGTAGAAGGCCCGATGCGTGCAGGCGCGGCCGTAGTTGGAGACACGTGCCGCGGGACGCAGATGGGCAGGGAGGCTGGGATAGTGATTTCAGGAGAAGACAAGAGGCAGTCTCTAGGTTTGCAGACTGGTTTTGTTGTGGTCAAAGTGGGCGCGTCCGTGACGTCATATTTGTGCGTCTTCCTTGGACAACCTCCTCACAACAGATGGGTTATAATGGGAACACACAGGATTAATACAGACGATCATAACACATGTACAAACACACACCACATTTCATTATTTGCCACTGGTACACACATGTAGGGCGCGGTACAGACTTATCGGAATAACACTGAGTCCGGGCTGGTCTACAGAATGTCCGGGCCGGGTGTGATGGTGTTCAGTGTCCACTGGGGGGCGCCAGAACGCCGTGGGTGAGTCTCAGGTTGTGGAATGTCCCATGAGCGATTGCTGATGAATGATTCCTGATCTCTGTCTGGCAGAAGGGCACACAGATGTCCGCTCTGTTGTTTTATTGCCCCTCTGGGTCTTCTTGCGGCGTTCCTGGCGAATGTTAGCCTTCCATTGAACCCGTAGTTACTTTGAAGTCTCAGGAGCTAGGGAGGGCATGTTTACGGAAAGGGTTTGCTATTCACGCCCGATTGGCGCTTGCCCTTTTCCTCACCCTACATACCCCCCCCACGGCAGAGATGCACCTTCCGACAAGGTGCATGTCATGTCGGATATGCCGAGTGGGTGTCCTCAGTCGGTCGTCTCGCCTGTTCGGGTGTTAGTGCGTGATTTGTGGTGACATGTTACAACATTCTCGCCTTAATGTGACTCAGTAGTTCGCTATCGCCTAACTGGGGCCAGGCTCGCAGCGGTTGGGTCTCGGGCCTCTGGCTTGGTTTGTCGAGGCCGGGTTTTCTCTGAGGCGAGTCCTGTTTCTGCCGGCTAGTTCTAACCGGGATCAGGGGTTTCGGGGAGTGAGCTGCGGCCGTGGACTCTAGGGTTTGGGCCGGTGCGCCTGACTCCTGGGTCTCTTGGTCTGGAAGACTCAAAGTTCCAAGCCAAGAGACTAGCAGGAGTTTCTATTTTAGGGGACTAGGATGGCTAGGGTGGCTGTCTTGGCAGCGGGTAGGAGCGTCATTAAGGCACTCGATGGCGAGGGGTTCCCATCTTGCTCGTTCTAGAAGGGGAGTATAAGGGTTACAAGAATATATGACGTAGCAAGTGGGGCTTTAATTACGAGGGACATTTCCTGTATATAAACGGGGATGACAGGTATGATTGTCTAGGGGACTGATTAGGTATCGAGGTAGTTTGGTTGGGTCTGAGCTGGTGACTCTTAGTGGGGTTTTTAGGCCCTTGGTTCACCTTCCGTGATAGAAAGAGTGACCGTCTCGAGTGGGTGACTTTGGAGGTCCTCGTACTCTGACTCGTTGACCTGGGGGCGCCGACTCAAATTGCCACGCTCGACGGCGCTGTCGCCCCGGTTTGGTCGTCTACGGATCTGTCGCGTCATTGCCTCCGTGCACCTGTTAAAGCTATCACGGAGTCTTCTAACCCGTCTATTTAGGACGAAGACCGTGGCTACGGTCAGGCCGTACCCGAGTCCTACCGCGATGGCCATGACTGTATCGGGGGCGGCCCAGGAGTAGGCTACTGGTTGGTGGTGGATGGTCGGTCGCTTGGCAATCTCTTGAAGGAGGTTGTCTACGACCGTAACGTCAACGGTTTGTGCCCCCTCGTAGGTGGCTTGGACTAGGGTAGAGGGTTGAAGTTCCAAGGCCCTTTTCTCAAAGAACTCTGGTACCTCGACCTCTGCCTCGTACTGGTTTGGGTACAGGTGGTATAGTGCCAGGTCGCCTATGTGCAGGATAGCGTCGGTTGGGACGTTGACCCAGAAGGTTTCGTCCGGGAGACTTACTCGGGACGAGGTGTCATGTTTGTCATAGGTCAGGGTCGCCGTTCTAAGGGGAGTGTTCACTAGCCATCGTGCCCCTACAATCTCTGCTCTGGTTTCGGTTATTTGCTTCCGAGAGGTGACCGTCGCGGGGCATCGACTCCCTGGAGTCATGGGCCTCAAGCCGCAGATGCCATCTGTGCTGTCCCTGACGAAAGGTTTGCTGGGTCAGAGGTAATGGATGTCCTTAGTGAGGGTGCACATCCTTAGATTTGGCGTTAGGTACAAATTGGGGTTGCTGTCGTGGTAGGCTACTATGTCTGGCGTCTGGACTCTGACGTGGGCATTGTCCCTCCAGGTCCCTAGGTTAGTGATCCCTTTCAGTCGGTAGATTTTGTCGCCGGGAACTATCGGTAAGGTGACTAGGAAGGCTACCTCGCGGTCTAGAGGATTAACATAGATGGGGACTGCAGCGCCCAGCGTGTACGCTAAGTGGGCTTGCATGGGTGTTACAGCGTCCCGTGTGGCTACGGCTAGGATGTCCTCAACTAGCGATAGCGGCACGAGGTATGGCAGGATACGGCCCATGGCTAGGTTTTTGATGGAGGAGCTGAGGTGACGTAACATGTCCTCCATCAGTTGTGTGGTCAGCTGAGTATGGGCGTAGTCTAGTTGGAGGACGTCTAAGAGTTGGTTGACCGCAGCGGAGGTGCGTTTAATCGCAACCTTGTGCGTGTTTTCCCAAGGTTACCACGTCGTTCTGTTGTTGGTGAAGTCTGGTTTTGACATCCTCGAGCTCAGAGGCTATTTCTTGTTGGTGGCGTCTGAGGGAGGATAGGCTGATGGCGTTTACCGTGGACATCCCTAAGCTAAAGAGGGTGCCCAGGGCGGACGCCGCGCCGAGGAGAGCCCCAATAAATTGTTTGGGTCTGGGGCGAGGGTCGCTGAGCTCTGTCCTAGTGATCGTGAACTTCTCTAGTTGCGTCAGCATGTGTTGTATGTCTGCCTCAGCGTGCTCCACGACCGTCTGGGTCCAGCGTGCACCTGCCCAATCTTTGAGTGTGACCTTCAAGGGCAGGTTCTTGCGGCAGACTTCACTAGGGTTGAGTCTGACAAAGATTCGCTGTGTGTGGAGTCGGACGTCCGTGATGAGGTCCGTCTCGATAATTTCTGGGGTGCCGAGGCACAGTATGCAGGTCAGCATGAGAAGGAAAGTGGGCCACATGTTCTGCAAGGCGTGAAACAATTGTTAGGGGTTAGACAGAGAGGGAGGAAGAGAGACTCGATTAGTGCAGCTGAGAAGAGTGTTAGTGGGTGTTGGGCTGATCGAGTTTGAGGTCACGTGGTGTGTTCCTAACTGGGGTTTGCGGTGTGCCCTACCTGTCCCATGGGGCTTGGTTTGTGTGGTTTGATTTGGTTGCGATGTACCCATTTGAGGGTGGTTTCTCTCCTACCTTTGGTGATTTCGATCTGGTACACCGCGGGTGAGAGCTTGTTTACTACCTTGTATGGCCCTGACCAGCGAGGTAGCAGTTTCTGGCGCAGTCTGGTGGGGCCGGTTCCCATTTGTCCTGGGGGATGTGCAAAGATGTAATACCATACCTGGTCTCCGACCTGGAGCTCGTTGTGGGACGCCTTTTGATCGTAATAGGCCTTCCGTCCTTCGGCGCTGTTTCCCAGTTTCCGTTGAGCGAACGCGAATGTCTGTTTCAGGTGGTCCTGCAGATCGGTCATGTAGTGATGCGTGGTGTAGGCCGTGGCGATATTCGCTTCGCCTGGCTGGTAGAGCAGATGCAGCGGGAGCGTCATTTGCCTACCTGTCATACTCTCGAATGGGGAGACCCCCGTGGAGCGGTGGGGTGTGGCTCGGATTGCCATCAGGACCAGTGGGAGTTTCACATCCCAGTCCCTCTGGTTTGTAGCTACATACTTCTTTAGTATTTCGATCACCGTCCGATTTGTTCTTTCTACCTGCCCCGAGCTCATGGGGTGGTGGCTCACGTGAAGGGAGGCCCGAACACCAAGTGCTTCCCACAGGTGGGTCATGGCTTCCCCGGTGAAGTGCGTGCCACGATCCGAGTTAACTCGGCACGGTAGTCCGTATCGTGAGAACACATGGTTCATCAGTAGGCAGGCCGTCGTTTGCGCTGTGTCGTTTGGGGCTGGTAAGCCTTCGACCCATTTGGTGAATGCGCAGGTGACCATGAGGATGTATTTGTTGCCTCGGGTAGACTTCGTTAAGGGGCCCACCCAGTCGATCTGGAGGTCCGACCAGGGGAAGGTTATACCTCTGGACTGTAGGGGGGCCCGGTGTAGTGGTCTTGTTGGTTGGAATTGGCAGCACACGAGGCAGCCCTTGACGTATTGCTTGGCGTCCTTTTGCATGTTTGGCCAGTAGGCCACCTGTTGTAGTGCCTGGTGTGTGCTGTTTATACCTCTGTGTCCCGCGGAAGGTGCGTCATGGGCGTGTGCCAACATTACCCCCCTCATGCTTTGAGGCACCACGAGCACCGGCGAAGTGTGTGCGTTGGAAGCATAAACCAGAAGCCCATGTCGTATGGACAGCCTCTCTCTATGGCGCCAGAGTTTCCGGAGCGTTGCGTCACTCGACAGCATGTCGGGTGTAATGTCATGGCCGTTCGGGTCGTTCGTGGCATCGATGAGGCGTTTCAGCGTGGGGTCCGCATTTTGGAGGGACACCAGGTCGGACCTGTCGAAGGCAGGGGTCGTGTGTGCGGGCGTGACGTCCGGAGTTGGCTGCTTTGTAGGCGCGTTAGCCCTCGTGACCGCACATACTGCGGGGGCGGGTCGTTCCTGGGCGGGTGTCTCAGGTAATTGCTCCTGGAAATGCCATTCTGCGCCGTCCACGGCGCCTTGTTTGGCCAGGCTGTCGGCCATGTCGTTCAGCTCTTTGTCCATGCCAGGCTCCCGTGAGTGGCCCCGGACTTTTTTCCAGTAGATCTGCATGTTGCGTTCCGTGACTATCTTATCGCAGGACATAAACAATTGTTTGTGTTTGACTGGCTTTTTGCTGGAGGTGACGTAGTCATTTTTCTTCCACAGAGGCAGGTGGCAGGAGAAGCTGAGTCGGGCGTAGTTAGAGTCTGTGCAGATCACCATGGTGTTGATTCCGTATGACACGGCGTGTTGTAGCAAGATTAGTATTGCGGCGATTTCCGCATATTGTGAAGTTTGGGGCCCCAGGAGGAATTTCTGTGGGGCGGCGGGCTCGTCGCCCTTCCACACGATGCCGACACCGGCGCGTTTGATGGTTTCGTGGTGGAACGAGCAGCCGTCCACGTATGCAGTTGGCAGGCCATCACATAGATTCTGGTCGAAGTAACAGTGTTGTTGTGGCTCGAGTGGGGTGGGTAGCAGATCCAACTTGGTCCCGGCTGGTGTGTCCACGATGCAGTCTTGGCATTCGGCCAGTCCCATCCCGAGGTACGACCTGTGTTTTTGTGCGTATGACACCTGGAGGTCGAAACTTTGTAGTGCCATCAGCCAGGTGGCTACCCTAGCGTTTGTGACGATTCCGTCTCTGAGCCTTTGGCTGGCGAGGAATGTCACCGGTTGGTGGTTCGTATTGACGACCACTGTTTGGTTGCCAATGTAGTTTGAGAAGTGTCTCACCGCCCAGACGGTGGCCAGCAGGGATTTTTCGCAGTCCGAGTATTTCGTCTCGGGCGCGGCCATCGTCTTGCTGGCGTAGGCAATGATTCTTTTGTCGGAGTCGTGAGTTTGGTATAGGCCCGCGCTGAGGCTGTGCTCGGAGAACCCGATTTCCAAGAAGAATGGTTTGTTCGGGTTCGGGTACACCAGGCACGGGGCTTTTCTCAATCGGTCGAGCAGGGCCTTCATGGCCTCGTCATGGCTGTCTTCCCAGACGAACGGGGTGTCCTTTTTTAGGAGGTTCGTCAGAGGTTTTGCTATTTCGGCGTAGTGTTCCACAAACTGGAGGGAGTAGTTGCACACTCCTAGCAAGCTGCGAGATGTTTGTGGGCGTCTTTAGGTTCGACAGGCCTTGGGTCCTGTCGGCTTGCGGTTCCACGCCCTCTGGTCCGACTAGGAGGCCTACATAGTTTACCTTGGTGCGGCACCATTGGCATTTACGTAGCGACACTTTCGCCCCAGCCGAAGTTAGTTGATCCAGGACGTGGTCGATTTCCACCAGGTGTTCCTCGATGGAGGTGGTCCTCAGGAGGACGTCATCCACGTAGATTAAGGTGCCCCTGCTGGCTGCATCCGGGCAGGCCTTGTTTAGGAAGATGTTGAACTCTGCTGGCGAGTTCGAGAGTCCAAAAGGGCAGCGTGTGAAAGTGTACTGCTTGTTGGCGAAGCTGAAGGCCAATTTGTGTTGGTCTTGTGGGTGTACCGGTATCGTCCAGAAGCCTGAAGCGATATCGAGCGTGGAGAAGAACTTTGCGTCCCTAACTTTTGGTAGGTCCTGGCCCAGTTGGGTCATTGGCCATCTGGACAGGGGAATTTGCGAGTTGAGGCGGCGGTAGTCGACAGTCAGTCGCCACTTGCCGTTGGGCTTGAGCACCGGCCATATAGGGGCAGAGTAGGTGCTGTTGCAGGGTCTTATGACCCCTTTTACAAGGAGGTCGTCTATAATGCCCTGCACCACGATGCCAAGGGAATTTTGTATTGGCGGACGTAGGTCGGCGGGGCGTTGGGTTTAGACGGGATGCGGACTGTGTGAATGTTGGTCAGACCGCAGTCCGTTGCGTCTGTGGCGAAAGAGGATTTGTATTTCATCAGCACCTGGCGGAGTTTAGCTCTTTCTTCGTCAGTGTTGATGGCATCCGCTAACGCCACGGTTTTGTCCAGCTCCTCCTCGAAGGAGGGGCAGGCGGTGGGTTCTTGCGTTGGCTCGTGAGCCACTTGGGTGGGGAAGGTGTCGACCCCCGAGTCTATGACTGAGATGGTTTGTAGGACCATCTCCGACTGGTTAGTCAGGTCGACTCTATACACGTCGCTGGATTTGGGGCCGGGTACCGTGAAGAGTGAGATCGACCTTGATGGTTTGGGGAGCAGGGCCCGCGCGTCGGGGTCCCGGTCCAGCCCTGTTGGCCAGTCCCCTATCACCGGGAGGCGTAGGTCGAAATCGTGGAACGTAGTGTCGATCAGCCAGCCCAGTGGGGTGCCCCGCGGTATGAGGATGGCGTCCCCTGTGGTATTCAGCACCTTAACGTGCGCCCTGCGGCGTTCCAGCCGTAGGAGGGGGGTCGCCTCCGTTTGTAAGCCCAGCGTCAGGAAAAGGTGGGACGGTTGGAAGAAAACCTGGGAGTTGCTGGTCATTTGGCCAGGTAGGACTACCAAGCCTAGTGGCGCGGACGTGTTGGGTGGCAGCGAGAGGTGGTTCTGCGCTGCCACCTGGCACACCTCCGGTATGGTCTGGCCCGATTTTAGGTTGTCTAGCGGGGGGGTCTCGGATTTATTCGTCACGGTCGTTAGCGACCAGAGGACATTGTTGATCGTGTCTATTTGTGTGTCTAAGCGCGTCAGGACGTCGCCGCCGATGACTATCGGGTGCGGCAAGCCTTTGACGACCGAGAACGTATGCTTGAGCGTCTTGTCATGTATCTGCAAAGCGAGTGAGCAGAATCCTATAGCTGGGAGCACGTCCGTGGACCGGTGGTCCTTTGGGAAGCGCGAGGCCTTCCTCACAAATGGTAGTTTTGGTGAGTTTTGGGCCAGCGTGTGGAACACGTCCTGACTGACCGCGGATTTGTCCGCCCAGTAGGCGAGGGCGGCGACTGGGAAGTTTGCGCCTTCCAAGATTACACCAGCGTTTATGCCGGGTGAGTCCGAATGCGCGGATGGCGTGAAGGCGCACAGGAAGTTGGCGCCGGTACTTGTCGGGAAGTCCTGGCGACCGGTTTCGGCTAGTGCCTTGGTCGGCCTTCGTTCGGCTGTTGGTGGCGTCTCCACGAGGTAGCAGTGGGTTTCGCTCAGTGTGCGTGGGATGGGCAATGGCTTCCGGACCTGGGCCCAGATCTTTAGGCGCTGGAAGTCTATCAGGGGCTCGAAGTGGTTCAGGAGGTCCTGGCCCAGCAGGAGCGGGATAGAGTTGAACGGGGAGATGTAGACCGGGTGGACCAGCGTCATGGGGCCCACCGTGAGTTGTATTAGCGCCATTTTGTGTATGGTAGTGTTTACTTGGGAATAGGGTCGTATTTCCAAGTTACACAGTTGTGTCTTTAGGTCTCTGTGGGATTTTCTTGCCAGTGACTGTAACTTACCGAAGAGGTCGCCGGCAATCAGGCTGATGTCGGCGGCTGTGTCAATGAGCGCTTCGTGTTCCCATTGGTCCTCGAGTGTCACGGACAAGTAGAGTTTCCTGTTGGCTCCCTTCTGTTGTAAATCGCCAATGAACTGGTGGAATGGTGGCTCGCACCTGATTGTCGAGGGTCCATCCCCCCGCGGGTCGGTGATCGAACTTACCTGTACCACCATGACGTCTCTTTGGTCGCAGTAGGCGTCTTCATCATGGGGGTGGGGCTCCCAGGTTTCCTCGCCCAGTTCGTTCTGGAGTTCCTCCAGTATGTGTGGGTCAGAGTAGTCGTCGTCCAGCTCTTGTTCGCTGAGGTCGTTGTTTACCCGGTAGGGTGCGTCCTCTGCCTCATCCGGCACGGACACTGCGAACACGTCGGCGTTGTCCGTCCTCCTTTCTTTGGCCTTGCGCAGGAGCGTTCGGAGGAGGGACTGTTCCTCTCTGGAGAGGTTACTTTTATCTATGGCAGTAGCGGTGCGGTCTTGGCGGGATCGTTGTGGCGTTCGGTCTTTCCCGTCGGCTTGGCCGGCGCGTCTCTCACCGTATTGCGGGAGTTTCTGGTCGCGTGGCTGTACGCTTTTTGTTTCCGCTTGTCTCTGGTTATTCCTTTGGGGTCTGTGGTTTGGTTCCCATTTGTGTTTTGGGGTCGTTGGTGCGCCTTCAAGTTCCATGTGGTTGTCCACACTGTACACCGAAGGTTGGGTTTGCGGTTTAGCCTGTGTCTTGAGCAGATGCTTGCCTTGTGCCCGTGCCACTAGGGTCTTCAGTTGTCGTATGTCCTGCGTAAGGGGGCAGGCGTACACGCCCAGTAGTTGGCTAAGGTTGGGGTGGAGGTTTTGGAGGTACAGGGCCCTGAAATTTGTGTCTTCCTCCATCCCTTCGTAGTTCCGGTTACCGAAGAAGGCCTGTCGCAACCTGTGGTAGTAGCATTCCGCGAACTCGTTGTGAGCTTGTTTGACCGCCATGGCCGCCGTGAGGTTCCCGGAGGCGCCGTAGTCTGAGTATTCTGCTAGGATGGCTTTGCAGAGCTCGTTGTAGTCATGTTTTATAGCCCTTGGTTGCCTTTCGATGAAGTCATTCACCTCTCCGTTGGACGTGAGTCTAATCAAGTATATTTTGTCATCTTGAGACGCGTGTGGTATGCGGTCGGCGTGGAAGTCGACGACGCGGAGGTATGACCGGGTGTTTGTAGGCATGCCGGGCCGGGGGTCAAAGCGGGTTATGTGTCTAGCTATGCGGTCGAAGTCGCGGTCGGATGGTCCGAGCGGGTCTCGACCTATCGGGGGCGCGTAACGGGCGTATCGTCCTCTATAGTCCGGGTAGTACCGTTGCCCTGGGGTCAAGTCCTGGCGTGCGTCCGGGGGGGTGCTGTGGGGTTGTCCTCCATGATTGGGGAGGTCCCCGGCGTTCCCGTGGAGGGTCACTGGCCGTTGTGCCGCAGCATGTGCGGGCGGCCCAGGCTCAGAGTACCGTATGTCGTGTGGTCCATGTAGCATGTACTGATGTGGGCCAGGGGGAACGTTGTAGGGTTGTCCGCCATGTTCAGGGCGGGCCCTTTCGTCCCAATGGCGGTAGTCTGAAACATGTCTCGTATGGACGTCAGGTGGGTCAGAGTCATGGGTCGGGTAGCCATGTTGGCTGCGTCGCATGTCCATGTGTGTTCCCGGAGGGGCGACGTGGGAGTCCCGTCCCTGGTTGAGGTGGTCTCCACCGTCCCAATGGCGGGCTGTCGGCCGTTGTTCGTCGCGGTCCATGGTCAGTCCGTGGGTATGGGTCTGGTGGCCATGCGTTTCGTGTTTAACGTGTCTGTGCGCTGCGACGGGTCCGGCCGGGGGTTGTCTCTCATAGGCGGAGGGGTCCCCGTGGGCCCGTGAGCGGTCTGTCACGTGGTACGTCGCCTGGTTCGTCGGTGGGCCGAGTCCGGGGTCAACGTGGTCGATGTGTCTAATGTAGTGTTGAGGGTAGGCTGTGGTTGCGGGCGGTCCCGTTGTATGGTGGGGTCTGCGCGCAACGTGATCGGGTTCCTCGTCGACGGACCGTTGGGACCTGTTCCGGATTGTTACTGTTGGGTTGTGTATCGTGCCTTTGACCTTGGTTCTGGTCTTTTCCCGTGATGATACTCGGACGTCAGTGGTAAAGAGGTCGCACATTAAAAGCGGGTGGGCGGGTGGACCTGCTTTATGCGGTTACTTACAGTAACTTTGGAAAAGAAAGCCGCGGGGGAGATGAAAGCGCAAAAGTCAACAGCAGAGAAAGCGGGGGGCCGCCCGCTTTTTATGTGCGGACCTCTCTTTACGTCTGACTACGAAAAGCCGGGCCACTATACCACCTCATCTACCAGCTGACTTCTCTCCCTCGCTGCCCCTCTCTCCCTCTCTTCGCACCATCAGCATGACCCTCAATGTGATTTTCTCTCCCTCCGGGTTTTTCTGTAGTGAGATATTAACCACGTTTCATTTGAAAGCAGTGTTTATTTGTTTGAGCTCCAAACACCTTTAGTTTTAAGCAAACAAAAACAAGATGGTCACGCTTGTGCTGCGTGCGTAAGCTACGTAACTTGATTTTTGATTGACGGCTGCCTCAATGAATGGACAAAATTACAAACGTAATTTAAATATTTTATATTCTCCTAACACATTAACAAGTAGTCCTTTTGAATCAAACTCAAATGTTAAATCACTAGTTAAGGGCTATTAATTAGCTAAATGTTTTTTTTTTTTTTTTTTTTTTTTGGATACTATCTTGCGACCCCCCCCAGGGGTTCCCTGCGGAACCCCCCGGGGGTCGGGCCCTCACTTTTGGGAACCACTTGTTTAGGGGCAGCTGCTTTCACAACATTAGAAATCCACTGTCGATAGTTACACACAATTGCTTCTTTTGATTCTAGTTCCCAAATACTCCCATATGTTTTGAGGTAGCTCGCGTTTGGGCACAATGTCTTCTACACTCTGCATGTCTTCACCATGGTCTTCACCGCCGCCTCAGCCATATTGTTTGCTCTCTGTTGTTGTTGTCCCTGCACGCCGCTCTGCTAACACGTGCCGCGCAGATGCGTCATTAAAGTGCGCCGCACACAAACCGTGTCTTCGCTTCGCTGTTTTCAGGTGTAATGATCGTTTTCACGGTATAAGGCATTTTCTTTATCATTTAATATACTCTATAACGGTACAAAAAAACATGCCCAACCCTAGTAGTCATGGCTATCTCCGCCTTACAATCTAATGGGCCAAAAAAATACTTGTCTACTGGAAGCTATCCCTAACATGGCCACAAGTGCTAGGTTAGAAGTTGGCTAAATCTTATTCGGGTCCACCCCACCGGCCCGTGACGGTGGTATTTGCAGCATGTCGGCGCACATCATTTTAGCCACTTTTGAGCCGGGACCCGCCTCCACTGGTGAACACCCCAGGTAATTTAAGCTGCTCCCCCAGCTCAATGTCTCCACCCTGGATGTTCAGCAGCGTGTAGGGAAAGTGGTTTTCTCCTGAAGTCGAAGATCATCTCCTTGGTCTTACTGGTGTTCAAGCACAAGTGGTTGGCTCACACATGTCGACAGCTGTGATAAAACTGACGATATTCCAGTTGGTTCCCCTTTTTCAAAAACCACACAGCCCACGATGGCGGAGAACTTGCAGGTGGACAGCTGTGTGTGTGTCGTATGTGAGTCTGAAGGTCGTTAGATGGTGAAAGTTGAAACGGTAGGAGAGGACCAGTCCCTGATGGGGCCCAGAACTGCCGCAGACTACCACCTCTGAACCCACAGCCGCACGTATCTGTGGGTCGGTCTGAGAGGTAGTCGATGGTCCCTGCAGTTGATGGGCTACTGTCCACTCCTGCGACCTCATCTTCCCCCGCAGCAGGAGTACCGGCCTGATGGTGTTGAAAGCACTGGAGAAGTCGAAAGAACACGACCCTCACAGCGCTGCCCGGTGGGCTCCAGGTGGTCGAGAATTTTGGAGCGTCCGCTGCGAGATAGTATGATGCGTGGCGTCCTCTACTCCGATATGGGCTGTAGGCGCACTGCAGCGGAGTCCAGGTTGGGGCTGACCCACAGAGCGGAGATGGGTTGAGGGGATGAGCCCGCTTCATGGCATCATCATGTGGGAGGTCAGAACCCCACACCCCCCCACTCCCCCCCCCCCACCCCCACACCCCACACCCCCCCCCCGCACCCACCCCCCCACCCCCCCCCACAAACCCCCCCCACCCCCCCCACCCGACCCCCACCCCCCTCCCCCCCCCCACCCCCACCCCCACCCCCCAAACCACCCCCACCCCAACCACCCACCCCCCACCCCAAACCCCCCCCCCCCCCCCCATCCCCCAACCCACCACAACCACCACCAACCCCAAACACCCCACCCCCCCCGTTCTGTAGTGAGCCGGTTCCTTGGCTTGCGCGGTATTAGGAACCGGGAGCACACACTAGGTCTTCCACAGGACAGGGACCTTCTCCAGGCTGAGGCTCAGGTTGTAGATGTAGGTGTGGAACTCAGAGAGTGGGACCGATCCCGTACGGGGCTTGCGGATTCCTAGTAATGGGTCGGCTCTGCCTCACACACAAATCCCGTGGTATGCCTTGCCTTGATCAGTACAGTGAACCATGAGTTGGCCCCCCGTGAGTTGTCCCCGATATTTTCCAAAATTTCCTGGATCCGGGGGAAGGGTGGGCGGTGGCGATCAGGCAAGTCATTTTGGTTTCAACAGTCTGTAATCCACAACATAGACCGGAGGGTTCCATCTTTTTTTTGGGACACATTACAATAGGTGACGAAATAGTGTGAACATGACTTTTGAATCCATCCTTACTCAGCGTCTTGAATGTTGAGACTTTACTTTCTGGTAGAAGATGACGTGCGATAGGAGTTATAAGACCTTTGGATGGGTACGTATGTGTTTTAACTGAATGTTCATTGAAGTTCTTTAATAATCAGTGTCCCAATCGTCCTTGGCAAACACGTGGCTCTCCTATCTCAGCAACTGCTTGACTTTTTTTGCTGCTGTCTGGAGAGAGATGGCTCAGGTCCACGGTGGATCCCATAGCTCCCCTTGTGGCCCCTCCCATGTACCCTGAGCTGTTGATGCCGTGCTGCCCTCTTCCTCCTGGGGTTCCATCGGGCACACCTTTCAACACTATGCAGCCAGCCTAGTGTTGTACAGCCACAATTGTAAGAGTCCAATATTATTTTTCCAGTCCACTCCAATAATAGACTCCTGTGAGCCACTGTCCCAAAAACAGTCGTATCCACTATTTAATGACGCTATGACCAGGGGGCATATTCGTCCACTGCTTAGCGGTTTGTCTTGCGTAGTACTAGGTGAGAAACTCCAAGATGGCGCCGTGCCAGGAGCGTCGCTGCAAGTGCTCCGTTGTGCACCGTTGATTTAAGTAGTCAGCGGCTCTTCTTTTTGCGGAAACTTAGAGAGTTACCAATAACTCTAAGATTCTGCTTAACTTTCATCGCGGCACCAATGAGAGTTTACTTGTTGGTTCTGTGACTGTGTGGTTTCGTAACATCACAAATAAAGAAAAGAGCGTTAAAAAAGGTTCTTCGCTCTGCAAAGAGGGACTGTGGGCTGTACGTTCTGTTCTGGAGGTTTTTATGAATCCAGACTCTATAAACAGAGCTATTAAAATCATCAATGACATCTTTCTGGCCACCCTGGGAAAAAGCCTGTTTCCAGCTTCTTCCCTCTGGAAGAAGATATCGGTCGCTGAGATGCAGACATCTCGCTAACAGAGAACTTTAATTCCTGCTATGACCCCTTGTATCGTTTTTGTTGATCGGTTGCCACCGGGACAAGCTGTTGTTTTTTATATTCTTTTATTTTCAGTGTAGGTGTATTTTATATTACATTGTATCCGTGCTTTTGGTCTGTCGGTGCACACAGAGTACCTTTTTGCAAATGTTTTCCAATGTCGTTTTTATACTGCACATGCTAATAAAATGAATCTGACATCGAGGGGGCTCTGTCCTGGTAGAACTGGCTTCAGTTTACCAGATGTACCAAAGGTCAATTTAATTAGACGAGGCTGAACATGAGTGACTTTACGAAAGCCAATAAGCCCAGTGGTCAGAACTGCCACATTTATAACTGTGGTTACACTTGCCTTGAGGATTGGTGATCTGGCAATGATGACACCTTCCCGGGGGTCTCTGGCGTTGCCTGAAAGTTCCTGCCCGAGCGGCGTGGTAAGATCTGTGTGGTGTGGGGGTCTTTGGGCTTGCTGGAGGCCTGAGAGAGCTGTGTAGACTTGTTGTATAGCTTCACAGATTGCTTTTATTGCCTTTGATCATTTTTCCGTCAAAGTCTCACGTTTTTGGGGGGTTCACTGGGCATGTTATTGTGGATGTGGGGCTGTGCTCTCCCTGTTAAATGTAAGGTCCTCCACCATTGCAGAATAATCACTGCTTTGGACTGGTCGCTAATTGGTTTTTTCATTCCGATTTCCAGTGTGTATGCATCTGTAACTTTCTCCAACAGCACTTCAGACACATTTAATCTCGTAGATATGGCTTTAAATCAGTTCTTATGGTGTCTGTCAATCGCCTGGTAAGTACAGTTTGCAAAGAATTGAATCTGTGATAAATCCGGGTGTATTTGGTCCCACTTTGGGCCCTTTCGGATAGCAAATAAAATTTGCCGTCTTAAGTCCATTGCTCCTGAGCACAAACTGAATTGGTGTCTCCCTGGGAGTCCAGTTCTGTCCAGGACCTACTGTAACATTATTTAGTGCTTTTTGGATCTTGACTCTCCAAACTGGGAATATCCAAGTTTGTCTTTTTGATGTTGGTTCACCAACTGTCCCATTATACGTTCAGTTCTTTTCTGTACAATTGGTGCACAAATGGTGGTTGGCATTAAATGGAGTCATAGTCACATGGAAACGGCACTGAATAGTGGGTGCAGCACGCGGGGCAGATGCACTTTGGGTTATGTGATGCAGTACTTCTGTATCCAGCAGAGGGAGAGCTGGCGCCGCAGGAAGTAGCTGAGGGTACAATCTTAATTCATCAATGCGGACAGTAAACTATGAGCAACAACGATAATCCTTCATCCTCGGAGCGAGACAACATCTTCTCCTTCCAGATTCTGTAGTGATAGTCCTCATTGCAACGAGGCTAAGGTCCTTGTCCTCTTCACTACAGATGCTCCCAAAGATTGGAACAAAGATATATTAAATCCGCAGCACAGACAAAGTCATTAGATTTTCCTCAATCCGTCCATTGCATTCTCCAATCTCCGACATCTTCGAATGTTAAGTATACATATTTGTAAAGTTTTTACCGTGCGTACAGGTAAACAGCTTCAGTCTCGTGAGTGCGCTGATGCCTCTGGCCTGAAGCTGGTGGCTTTGTAGGGGTTAAACTCCAAACTCTGCTCTTTTCCACAACAGCGTCGTTCCAATGCGATCTCCCAAACCCGAGCAGAATCACCAAGATTCGAAGTTGCACTCTTAAATGACCAGGAACAATACAAATAGTCGTTTTACAACGTTTTTGGTCCCCGTTCCGAGTCACCGGTAAAGGCTACGAGGGTGACTAAATCATGATCGCACCCGTCAAACACTCACTAGTTCGCAGGTGTGGCCGTGGTTGATACATTTGCAGCTAGCCCCTCAATGATAAAATACGTGCATAGATTTATTAATATCAATCAATCAATCAAAGTTTATTTGTTAGCAGCGCCTTTCATACACAGGGCAACACAAAGCGCTTCACAGTCCCACATCACAACTCATCACATAAAAACAAACACCAGAATCACAATTTTAAAACATTAAAAATCACACAAAAGATTAAAACACAATTAAAACATTAAAATCACACAAAAGAATTAAAACCATTAAAAACTTTCAAAATTACACAGAGAAATTTAAAAAAATAAATAATAAATGACAGCAGTGCATTAGAAATGGAGAATAAAATCCTTCAGTTGTATGCACAGGCAAACAGAACAGTCTTTAACCTGGATTTGAACATTGACAGAGTAGGACGCCTCCCTCACATTTTTCAGGGAGATTGTTCCAGATCTTAGCTGCATGGATCTGAAACGCAGCCTCCCCATGTTTGGTTCTCACTCTGGGCACCAGCAGGAGGCCAGTCCCTGTGCTCCTCAGAGTTCCGGGCCGGTTCATATGACACCAACATGTCACTAATGTATTCTGGTGCAAGGCCATGGAGAGACTTGTACACAAGCAGAGCCGTTTAAAATCTATTCTTTGAGCCACAGGAAGCCAGTGAGTGACTGAGGACTCGGACTTAATTTGGTCATACTTCCTGGTTCCTTTGTCAGGGACTCTAGCTGCTGCATTTTTGGATGTACTGCAGCTGCGTACAGGTCTGTTTGGACAGACCCTGTAAGCAGGCCATTGCAGTAGTCTAGCATGCTGGAGACAAAATGCATGGACAAGAATCTCCAAGTCTGCCCTGGACACTATATTTCTAACTTTGGCAATGTTCTTCAGATGGTAAAAAGCTGTTGTTTGTTATTGATTTTATGTGGCTATTGAAAATTTAGGTCTGAGTTCCAGTATTACCCCCAAATTTCTGACCTTGTCTGAAGGAAGTAGGGGAGGGTGAGACTGAAGTGACAAAACCCTCCCTCTACTGACGCCCTCTCTTTGTTTCTGGGGACCAAAGGACAATGATTTCGGTTTTGTCTGCAATTTCGCTGGAAGGAAATTATTTTGCATCCACGTCCCTGATCTGTTGGGATTACAGTGAAGGAGCACAATCCAGTGGTCCTTGTTCTCCTGCAGTCAGTGGGACATAGATCTGAGTGTACGTCGGCGTAATTGTGGTAGGACACTTTGTTTCTTAGTATTAACTGACCTAACTGTCAAGCATGTAGAGACTTAAATAGGAGAAAGAGACGGGTCCCAGGATCGACCCTGTTGGTACTCCACAGGTCAGGGCCACATCTTCTGAGACGCCAAGTCTCCAAATCTCCACCACGAGCACTTCCTATCCTCCAGGTCAGACCTAAACCCAGGTCTAGGGGACTGTGCCAGAGTGGACCACCAAACCCGTCCTACAATCTCTGCGATGGGGATCTCATGGTCTTGACAGTGTCGAACGCGGCACTAAGATCTAACATGACCAAAACTGTGACTTTTTACCTGCTAAATCAGTGTGAAAGTTCGGAATGTCGTTTGTTACTCTTCACTAGAGCGGTCCAGTGCTGTGGTGGGGTCTAAACCCAGACTGGAAACATATCAAAAGAATTATCATTGTTAAAAATTCAGTAAGTTGTTGGTGAGCCACTTTTTCAAGAATTTTCCAATAAATGGCCAGTTAGATGATGGGGCGATAATT